TACTCGACGCATTGTCATGGCTTCCTCGTCTCCTACGACGTCAATTCCGATCCAAGAACCAGTGTTTCTTCAATTTCTTCATGATGTTCACCATGCTTACCTTCTACTACATCGAGCAATGGCACTACTACCACCTACACTCATTCCCAACATTGAACCTACTCCTCTTCCCAGTACAGACGTATGGAATCAACCTGATGGGCTACGACCACACTATTCGGACCAGACCAATGCCTTCATTGACAATGCCCCCATCCCATCGCCGGATCTGGAGGAGGAAGAGACACTTATGGATGAACTGGTGGAAACCCATCTCCCTGAGCCGCACCAACATCTTGCTGCTCCGCCTCCTGATGTTTTACCTGCACCTTCGAAGCTTTCTACTAGAACACCATCACCGCCAAGTCGCAAACAGAAAGCCAAATCCGCTCCAAAGGCTCCTGCTAAGCGTCGTCGTCGACGTGACCAATCCCGATCCCGCTCCTCGAGCCCACTGTCACTCTGGACCTCTGAAGACAAACAGAAACTACGCACTCTGAAGGCTGACGAGAAATCTCGATTTTCATGGAAGGTGATCTCGACCAAGATGGGCAAGTCTGAAGAAGATGTTCACTCTATGTGGAATAAGATCAAAGACCAACTTGGCTGACCAATGACATATGCGAACCAAAAGAAAAAGGTACGTTGCGGTACGGTATTCCTGTTTCACCAACCAGTTGGCCTTCCTTTTGGGAATTTTCTTCTTGTTAATCTTCAGAACCATGGGCGCTGTTGTCCCATTGAATTCTGACACGTCGTATCACACAACCCGTCAGCCATTTATTATGTCTCTCCGCGTTCACCTGGACCGCTATTGCCAACAGCGAGCTATGTCCCACGAGAGGATCTCACCTACACGACGCTCACGCTCTCCAACCAGGACGTCATCTTCCGCTATGGGCTCTACGTCATTTCAGCACTCACCCAACCGGTCTTCGCCTCCGACACCTCACCGACCGGTTATTTTCCAGTTGGACCTGAAGCCGATGCAACAACTGGCCGTACGCAACCCTTATTACAACATCTTGAACCCCAAAGTCGCGGGCAACCTTCCTACGGCCACCTATGACAGCTTGTTCCAGACGTTCAAGGTGATCTACCCGGACTATGCTCGCAGTCATTTCGTTTCAGACCTCAAAACCGTCGTCACCGACACGTTGCTACAACGCTGGTCCATACACCTACCAGCGTCGGAGTTCTACATGATGATTGACACCGATCAAGGAGCTCAGATGCTTGACGACCTTCCTCATTCTCTTCTGGATGTTTTGAATTGGTTCTACCCGAGATGGAAAACTCATCAACATCTCGATGCCTTCACGACCCGTGAGTGTTCACCATTGCTGCTGACACCCCATCCAGATGCACAAGACACCGGCTTTGCTGTACATGTTCAAGTGATTCCACGTGGGCATCCATTCGTCACGGCCACCCGATACACTAAAGCCGCTGAGTGATTAGCTGTCTTGATGGATCTTGGCACGGCTCATGTCTATGAGGAAAAAGACCAACATTCGTTATGATGTCCACCACCCCGGTTCTGATTTTCCCTTGTGTCATCCTTTTCTCGTTTTCCATTGGGTGATATTCGTTATTTATTCCTTCATCATTGACCTTCCCCACGACCTTTTGGCTTCAGTTCAGTATTTCTCGTTATCATACTCTTGTGATCGTACATGATGACCTCCAACACGGATCATCCTGCTCGATTGGTCTCGCACCGTTCACCACCTACATCCATACATGGCCTTGCCTCACACTTGCCACCTGATGATCCTACCTCGGCATCCTATATTCCTCGTGCAGCGAGAATGATTCCGACCTCTACCACTGTCCACTCCGTCTTCATCAAGAAGCTGAGCTATCCTTTGTCTAACCGTTCAGATGAACTTTGGATCGTGGAAAGGACACTTGATGGTCTTGAAACGTGGAAACCAGTGGAAACATTCCTGGAGAACATGCACCTCACCAACGACCAGGCGACCTTGCGTACTACAGCTAACCATTGGCGCAGATACTATGACGTACCAATTCAATCATCATCCTCCTCCCCTACGGCAACTACTGTTCCCGTTTTACCACACCCTGAACACTCCAACGTCTCTGTCTCACAGTCGTACGAAGCGATACCGGACCACCTCCATATTTTACAGTCATGCTGGGGACGCTCTGCCCAACACCATTCTCAAGGAACTACTACCTCTTTATATTGGCCACCTTGGCGGTCTACACCACCTTCTTCCCCACCGGCAACACTACAACGTACTGTACATCTCACTCGCCCCGCTGTCCCTCCTCAACAAGTACATGGTCCGCTGGATGCGAATGATATTGACCCGATGGATACGTCGGACTCAAGTGTGTAATATACCACATTATTTGTCGGCAGGAAAAAGACCTGTGATTCATCGTCTCTTTGTGTGACCATTTACTAGGTACACCGTTTCTCGTTCATTTCTAACACTTTGAGCTGGTTTCTGTGGCTATTCCAACCCATTTTGCAGCTTGGGCTTTTCGCTTTATCCTCGATACTTCACATTCGACGCAATGGCTCGTTCTTCTCGACCCAATCCATATCGCGCTACATCCACGATTGAGACACCGCTTGGTACACGAACCGTTGGATGGATTGCTGGACATCGAGGCCTTCCTGGTGATGCGAACCCTCCTCCAAACAGACCTGTCCTTATCTTGGTTGACTTCTCTCCCCTACAGGCATTGACTCACCGAAGCGAACCTGACCGTGAACACTACATGGCTCTGGTGAACTCCAATTTTAGACATGTCAGTGGCTTTGAACTTGCAGCTTTGTTTACCTGGTCACGTCAGATGGAACCAGTTGAAGCCGGCCTCATCCCAATTGCCGAACTTCGCTTCTGTATCTCCAAAAGATTGAGGTCCCAATGGGACATCCAAATTGATCCCTCGAATCTGGAGTTTCGCTTTTGCGACCTGGACGGTGAGACATTCCAAGTTTCCAATGATATGACGGTCTTGCAGCTTTTGGAGGCATACCGACCTGAATGGCGACTTCGGCAGTACAACTCCCGTGAATCTTCTTTCCTCATTCCGGGTACCAGACAGCCTTTCGTACTACGTTTGCAATGCTACAAAATTAGCTCCGGTGTGATCCTGCCCTGATACGCTAGCCGGCCAAAAAAGACCATGCTAGAGGGTTTTCAATTCTTCCTTGACAACCCACTAACACACAGGATTCTTCGATTTCTATTTTATTTGACTTTGAGCTGTGGCTTCTCTGTCGCAATTGACCCACTTGCTTGAGGACTGGATTTCACTTTTATCATTTTTGTGAATATTATCATTTTCGGGATTGGCTTTTTTCTGCAATTCTTGATGCTTCAGCCGTTGTTGCGCTATTTCTCGCATTTGTGACAGTTTCACCCATGGAACACAAACGAGACGCGACCGTGGCGGGCTTGTCTTGGCCTTCGAATCCTACCCGTGGACTCGCTCCTACCAATCCAGTTCAAGTACCAGACGCCCAGACTTCTGCACTATGTCACTCAGGAGCTCCCGACACTACGACCAACCCTACGTCGGCACCTTTGGTCACTGACAGTACGGCACCTGCCACGGATACTATGGCCCATCCTGATACATATTCAGGACCAGCACCTCCTTGTGTCCCGTTTCCAATGGAGTCAAGTTCTGCACACAACTACCTCCATCGTGCTCAATTCTCTTCTCGCGTGGTTCACCAGATCCAATTCAAGGTCATTACCCACTCCAACAACACCAGGGAGCTTTTCATTGAAGAAATCCCCTTGCTAGGGGTTTCCCGCTGTCGTGACCCTGAACACTACTTTTATGGTCTTTCGGGCAATTGGGAGTGGTCCCTACGTACAGCGGACTATTGGCGACATCATTTCGAGATTCCCCTTGTACACGGACACCATCCTTTTCACAATGTGCCCATTGAGACGACATCTCCAGCAGAGGAACCGAGCCTTACCACCCGGATCCACGAATTAGCCACGGATCTTTCTGAGGCCTTGAAGGCTGCTACGGCATCTGGGGAATTCAATGAGACGTGGGCGATGGTTGAACGCATGAGCTTCCACGATGCTTTCGAAGTCCTTCTACAAGCTCCGAATTCTTCTTCTTCTGACTGAAGTGATCGCCCGTTTGTACATTTGGTTTTTACAGGTTCACTCTCACTGGTGTATTGCCGATTCCGCCAGCGAAGTTCTTCCAAAAAATCCAACCTCGCTATATGCGAGGTGTGTGTGTGTACCATCTGAACAGATGTAAAACTTCTGATTGGTTTTCACTAGTTTGCAGGGGGGTGCAGAGCACAGTGGAGACTGCACCCAACGAAGCTATCCACTTGTGCTGGAAGCAGAGTCTGATCAACTCTGTGTACCTGCAAAATTTGGTTTCAACTGTTGAACAAGCTGTTACACTGCGTTGTTTCGAATCTACACGGTTGCCACAATCTGTATTGCATGCATCAGAACCTTCCTCAGATTTTCGCCGAAACCATATCGCCGACAGTTTTATGTTTTTTTGACATATTTTCGCCGAGATCATGTCGCCGACGAACTTTGGGTTATTTTGGGAAACAATCGCCGAAACATTATTGTGGATTCTCAACATGCTGGTTAAAACTCTATGGATTCTGGTTTTGACTTCGTTTGACAACATTGGATGCCCTACATCGTTTTCGAGAAGTACCTCATGTGGCTCCTTTACTAATCTAACGATCTAGGCTGGTTTGCATGTTTCAGGATTCAGTTCCTGCCGGATCATATAATGATCCATTCTTGTCTAGTGTGTGTGTTTGTATATATATATAATATATGATTAGTTGGAAATAAAAAGCATATATATATATATATATCATATATGACTAATTATATGACAATCATATGATGATTATTATGACTAATTATTGTTATTATGATGACAGGGATATTCCCCCGGTGGCGCTTTGCGATGAGGTGGCATTGCGTTGGATTACACTGGGCTCGGATCAGCCAGACGCAGGGGCACCCGTTTGTGATGTTTAACAAACAAACCCTCTCGGAATTTAACATAGCCGACATAGCCATGGAAAATGACGGAAAATGGACAATTTATAGATGATTTATAGATGATTTATAGATGATTTATAGATGATTTATAGATTTTACATGATTTTACCTACTACAAATGGTGATTTGCAAAACAGCCATGTTAAATTGCCCCTTGGGTATATAGGATAACCAAAGGTCCATTTTGATAGGGGAAGTAGTGATGAGCCATCAAATTTTGGGGTGCTAGTTTCAGACAACCCCAATGTGATAAATCCAAGTCTGTGAAAACTTTGCCAGTAATGTTCAATCCGAACGCCACCAATCAAAAATTGGAGTCATTATTGGGTTCGCCTGATCAATTGATTTCAGTCCGGTATAATGATCTTTGGCGCATCACCATCCAGTGGTTTCTCCCGCTGTTCACCCTCGCTGCAGCAAAAGCAGGTGCCATCGCACTGCGCCCAATTTGTACACATCGACGTATCTCTTTGCTTCTTTCAACGCCTGCCGGGCTCCATTTTTAGCAGTGGCCAGTCGACCAATCCACCACAAAAGATGTTGGCCATTGAAATGGGCATGGGATGGGCATGCCGGGCATGGGCTTCGACTGCCAGGTGATCTTTACGATCTTCACTGTGATTTCCACATATGGGTTTGCTCCTCAGAGCCAAGCAACATTGCTAACACCCATCGTGGACGGCCTGAAAATTGCAGTGTAGGAGTGGAGGAAACCCAACGGCAATACATAGTTGGGATTGCACAGCAGGAATTTGCGGCAGATATTTCAAATACCCGGTCAGCTGCTCACTAGAAAGATTGGGGTTGAGGGACCCAAGAAATTCTGCCCTGTGCCATTTTGGCCAGGGTTTCTGCCTCTCTGGGTGCACTTGAGGCTACAACACATGCTGGCCTCATTGTTACGTTCGGCAGCCCATGCTGAAATCGGATGAGGAAAGTCTGCAGCGGTTGGGGCCAGATGTGGCAGATGGCTGTGAGTCAAAACCAATTACCGCGAATACCCTATACTATCTGTTTTTTTGCGCATTTCAGGCATGATCAGTGGGACATAAATATCTAGCATGATCAAATCAAAATTGGGAAACTGCGAATGTGGCATAGGGTTGTCTCATGTAGGTCATGTCATGACACTTTTCACATGCAGCTGCACCGCAGCGCTTGAGCCCCGGCAAAACAGTTTCGAGCCTTCGTTGCAGCCTGATCTAGGGGATCAGGGACCTTCGACTTGTGCCATATCGTTTGGCCACTTCATCCACCCTATTTCATTGTCTTTTTCCTTGTGATCCCATTTGGGGGACTTTGGTTAGTGGTTGGAATAGGTGAACCTCCCTGCTCCCGCATTGGTAGCGGAGCAGGTGAGGGGATCCAGGGGCGACACAACGGCTGAGAGGAGGACTTTCAGCATCAGCAACACCTACCCGAGCTCTGCGAGATCTTCAAGGACACCTGCGGTTGGTTCTATACCTACTTCAGGGACAAGGCCAACATCTGGGGGATCGGTTCGATCCAGAGGAGGTGAGCGAGCACCTGCTGCTGCTCGACGGGCTTTCAGGGAACGCTCCAGGTCTAGGTCTCCTGCAAGAGATCTGAGACAGGCTTTCAGCCCTCCAGGTTTTCCTTCGGTGTTGATCGATTTGAGACCTGAGAGGCCCTGCCCGACCTTCTTCGAGCCAGAGCCTGAGCCCGAGGTTCGAGAGGACTTGGACGCTCGGCGAAGCTTCAACGAAAAGCTCCAGGCGGTAATCACCCTTGCTCCTCAAGTTGGTCATTGCTTCTTGGAGATTGGCTACCTGTACGGCCGACAAGAGCTCAGACGAAGAGAGATTCAGTTGCTTGGTGCTGAAGGCCGACCTTTGGGTGAGTTGCTTGAATTGGAACAGCCACCAACATCGGCTGGTTCGAGGCCCCGCTGAGCCCAAGCCTTGTTTTGCAGTTTTCCTTTGGGAGGCTTCACATTGCCGACCACTACATCCTGGACTTTGACATCTGGGGTACTTTTTGCATTTCTATTTGAACGTTGGACAGTTTGTGTTCATCCGGAGCTATTTCAAGGTTCTACAATTCTTCTTTTGCAACTTCTCTGAAGAGATCTTTGTTGCCCAGTTTTGGAAGCGATGTCTGCCTCAGCTGAGAAGCAAGGTGGAATGGAACATGTCCCTGCCTGGGATGGACAAGCCAAAGGATGGCGCCGCTATGTGAAAGAGGTGCAATGGTACATGCTTGGCACAAAGCCCAGCCTTCGGCCTTACTTGGCTAGCAGGTTGATCACAAAGCTGAGCGGTCCTGCACGGCTTTTGGCTATGACATGGCAACTTCAGGAGTTCAATGGTCCTGATGGGGTGCGAGTTCTTCTGTCGAAGCTTTCGAAAAGCCCTTTGGTTCGAAAGAGCTTGCCCAATGCTGCTTCAATCATGGCCCAGTACTTCTCCTTCAAGCGCTACCGGGGTGAGGCCATTGCCAACTTCCTCATTCGGGAAGCCTTGCACTATGAGGAGTTCCGCGAGTGCTTGATTCGCCTCAAGGAGGAAAAGAATGGTGTTGATCCTGAACGCGATGGTTTTGGACTTCCAACGGTTGATGAGGAGTCTGCCAGCGAGGGTCCTGACTCTGAGGTCCCGACTGCGAATGCAAGCCCAGATTCTTCAGAACGTCGAAGACGCTATGCCCGGATCCCTGCGGATGATCCTGGCCAACCTCTTGCAGAAGAAGATGAACTGGTTTTGTCGGTGTCCGACAGCTTCATCTTGGAGCAACTACGAGGATGGCGTCTCTTGACCTCTGCAAGCCTCTCCACGGACGAGTGGCGAGATGTTTTGGGCACTACGCAGGGAAAGCTGGACTATGTCTCCATTAGCGATGCTCTCCAGGTACTCTATGACGAGCAGATGACTGGTGGCACTCGACTTCAACCTGGACATCCTCAACAGCCTCTATATCATGGACAACATCTTCAAGCCTACATCGCGGACGAGCACTACGATGATGATTGGTCCTCTATGTCTTCAAGCTCTTCCTGGGATGAGTGGGGCGATGATGGATGGTCGTCCTGGAATGCGGCTTTGACTTGGAGTGAAGACCCATGGTCTTACGACAGCTGGTGGCCTGAAGATGGAGAAGATGAAGCTGATGCAAATGCAGCTCAAGAAGGTGATCCTAATGCCTCAGAAACCTCTGCAGCTGAAGCTCAAAAGATGGAGCAACTCTTGGCTGATGGTCGCAGTTGGAGTCAAGCACAACGTGCAACGGCAGCCATGAAGAAAGATCGTGGTTTTGGCCGAGCAGCTTGCTTCATTTGCGGCAGCACACAACATCTTGCTCGAGAATGTCCTGATCGACTTTCTCCTCATGGAGTTTCCAAGTCAAAAGGCAAGGGCAAGAAAGGTTTGCACTACATGGAGGATGAATGGCATGACTGGATCTACGCCATGCAGAAGGGCAAGGGCAAATCGAAGGGAAAGTCCTACAAGGGCAAGTCCTTTGACCCCTGGAAAGGGAAAGGAAAAGGAAAGGCACCTGTGAATGCCTATGCGCTGAACCACTATGGTTTGGAGATGGAGCTTCAGACCCAGCACAATGGCCCTGTGGAACATGCCATGCTGGCAACAAAGAAGGTGGCCACTCCGAGGAAGACACAGATCCCTCGTGAGATCCCACCTGGCAGTGGCATGATCGACTCCGGAGCTACATGCTCTGCTGGACCTGAAACCAGTGTTCAGCGGCTGGTGACAAAGATCATGGAAGCCGATGCAGCAGCACAGATCCGCGTGGAGACAAAGGATCAACCTCGTTTTCGTTTTGGTTCTGGCAAATGGGGACAAGCCCTCTACAAGTTGACCGTTTCTTCATCTATTACGGGGAGTACACGCAGTTTTTCATGTTTTGCACTACTTGATCCCGAAGAACGTCATGAAGATTGGTTTACCATGGACATGCTGGTTCCTGTTTTAGTAGGTATGGACTGGTTGAAAGAAGCTGGAGCAGTTTTGGACTTCAACGATGGTCATTGTTTTCTTCCTTTGATGAATGGTGTAGTTCTCAACCTTCCTCAAAACCAAAAGGGTCACTACATGTTGGATGTTGTCGAATACCTCACTGATGGTCTCCGAAACTCCAAAGGTCATGCTGCAGTACATGTCATGTTGGAAGAACCTGATGAAAAACCAGAAGTCATCAACGATCACTCCATTGAGTTTTTCCCAGTTCAGTTTTCTGACGTTTTTGTCTCTGAGAATGCAAGCGTTGATGGCAAGTTCAGTCAAGCCTTCGAGTACATGGTGAATCGACGGATGAAGTTGTCTTGCAACAGCAGTGTTCGGCTCATGGGTAACCGTTTGCCCTTCGCTTCAACCCCGACAACTTCCTCTTCAAGTAGCCATGCCGAAGGACAAGGACAAGAGCGACATGCAGCCTCCGGACGAATCTCGTCGGATGGAGGGAGATCCTCGAGACCCACGGCATCAACGAAGCCAGTGGCCTTGCAAGGGAACACATGCCCCGAGCAAGGAGATGAGCAACAGGTACGGCATCTGGGTCAATTGCCTCCAGTGCGGGTACCGTCTATGGTACAAGCCTCGAGTTGGCAGCCCGGCCAACTCCATGGTGACGATGAACGGCACCAATGCGAAGCGAGCTTTGGACGAACTACAAGGTCTTCTACCTCCTCAAGCAATGCCTACGGAAGAGCTGGTGCGCGCGATGATCGAGAAGGTGGTGGCCGAGGAGCGCATCAAGACCATGCTGATGGACTTCGAGAAGACCATGCAGAAGAATGTGGAGAAGATCAACGAGGCCAAATCGGCCCCGGCAGCCGCAAAGGCAAAAGGGTATGCTTCTCCGATCCAAAGACCTCGAACACCAACACCAGAGCCTGGCCCTTCTCCTGCGTCAAGCGGATGGCAACAGGTCTCTCCCAGCAGGATGGACCTCAACATGGCCTTCGAGCACCTGACAGCGGAGGAGAAGGAGCGCCTCATGCAGCTTGCGGCAGAACGGGCAGTTCAGCCGGTGATCAATGTGAACATCAGCTCGGACACGGAGCTGGAGCCTGCGTACGGGGAGCAACAGCAGTGAAAGATGCAACTTTCAAGAGCGCGCGGGCAAAGGCGTGATGATGATGGCTGCTGCTCTTTGTGACCAACTTCACTCTGAGATTGCCCAGGTAGTCTACCAGAAACCTCCAATGCTTTGGGAAATGTTCTGCAGTCCTGACAGTGAGCTGACCAACCAAGCTCTCAAAGCTGGCTTGTGCGCCTACCGCATCAACCTGGCGGGCGGCTTTGACCTCTACCGCAAGAACACCTATGATGGCCTACGTCAACTTCGACGTCGCCACAAGCCCAAGAAGTTTTGGATCAGCACTCCTTGCACCTTCTACTGTGACTGGACAGACCTCAACTATCACAACCGACGTGAAGTTCTTTTTGAACGACGTCGCAAGGAGAAATCAATGCACCTTAAGGTGATGGACTTTGCAGAAGAAGCCTTGCTGGAAGATGAGACTGCCGATCTCTACTGGGAATGGCCGCGACGCTGCAGAGCTTGGAAAGAGCCTCATGTGGAAGAGTTCAAGACTCGACTCTTCAAGAAGTGTGGCAGGAATCTTTACCTGTGCCAAATCGATGGATGCCGCTATGGCATGAAAGACTCTCATGGCAACATCATCAAGAAGTCCTGGCAGATCTTGACGACTGATGTGGTCTTCTACACGATGTTTCGCTTGAAGGTGTGTCTTCAAAACCATGAACATGCTCAAATACATGGACTTGAAACGACGCGCAGTGCTTACTACCCCACGGCACTTTGCCGAAGTATTGCACAGCTTTGGCGTCGCACTTTGGTCCCTGACCGTTGGATCAAGATGCTTTCAACAGCACCTGTGGTGATGGACCCCTTCAAGGAGCTCTGCGATGGTGATGATCATCAAGCTCATCTATGTTCTGGACTTCCTGATGGCGACCTCTTCATGGAGGACGATGAGAACGTGCCTGACGATGCGGTGGTTCCTGCTGAAGTTCAACCTTCTGAACAAGATCAACGAGCATGGAAAGCGAAATTGGATCGCTTTCACAGACAAGCTGGACATCCCACAGCGCGCAACATGGCGCGGATGATGGCTGATGCACAACTCCCGCGGTGGAAGATCAAGATGGCCTTGGAGCATGTTTGCCCCTATTGCCAAGAACAAAAGGGCGGTGGCATTAGCTCCAAGCAGATCAACCCAGCGAGCATGCGAAATCTTCCTGGACCTTGGGAACAAGTTGGCATCGATGTCTCTGAGTGGGAAGTTCCTGGTGAAAACATCAAGGTGAAGTTTGTCATCATGATGGATCTATGCACCAAGTACAAGGTGACCGACGTCCTCTTCAAGAACAAGCACGGCACTATCAAGAATGAGTCTGCCGAGGAGATGATCCGCAGTGTTTCCTTGAGGTGGCTTTCTGACAAGCCCAGACCTCGAATCTTGGTTCCAGACAATGCCAAGAGCCTCACAGCGAAGAAGTTTGTGGATTACATGTCAGACCTTGGCATCGAAGTGATCTACCCACCGGATCATGAATCCTGGGCTCATGGACTTGTTGAACGTGGTCATCAACTGGTGAAAGAGACTGCTTCGAGGATTCATGCTTCCTCTCCTGACCAAGATCCTGAGATCAGCCTTGCACTTGCAACAGCAGCTGTGAACTCCACGGAGTACAACAAGGGATACAGCAGTATCCAATGGGCGTTTGGTCGACAAGCTGAGCTGACTGATGATGAGCTACGTCAGCATCTTCAACTTCCAATTGATCGTCAACAAGATCAATTTGCCCGACTCTTGACAAATCGACAGTCTGCTGAAGAGCATGCGAGAAAAGCCAGAGCAGATCATGTGCTTTCAAGGATCAAGAACACCACTGTGAAGCAGCCTCGTCGCAACTTCGACCTTGCACAGCCTGTGATGGTTTGGAGGAAGTTTTTGCCTCCGAAGTTCCACAAAGGACCTCGTGGAGGAGTCAAGCGCACTGTGAAACCGAGATGGATTGGACCTGGCAGAGTGGTTCTACATGAACTCATTCCTGGACAAGTAGAAGGAGATCCAATTCCAATCGTTTGGGCGGTCATTGGCAAGACGCTCTATCGATGTTCTGTCTTCTCTGTGCGACCCTTGTCGGATCGAGAACAAGCCCATGAAGAAGCAACAAATGCCATCGATCCCAACAAGTGGAAGCAACTCTCCGACATCATTCCCAAGAGGGAGTACGTCGACATCGAGCACGAGCAGCCTGCGGAGGGTGAGACCGAGGAGTTTGACCTTCCTGAACATCCACCTGACATGCGAACAGCTGGAACTTCTTCATCAAGATCCTCTTCACGGTTTCCTGGTGTTCCTTACTATGTGCCTGACTTTTCCAAGGTTGGCCCTACTGGACCAATGCCTCCGATGCGAATCTCTGGGAAGAAGAAGCCCAGCGATGTCTATGAGCAACCTGAGATGGTGAATGACTATGGTGATGAACAAGTAGCACGATCACCATCTTATGCACCTACAACACCTGCAAAGGATCCTGAACCTATCGACCTGGAAGATGACGACTTTGGCAACATGCCTCATGGTCCTCTTCGTGAAGATCGCAGATTTTCTACAACATCTTCAACGCCGATGGTGGAAAACAAAGAGCCCTATTTGGACTCTCCTGAAGATGGTCTTCCTGATCCAGTTCCTGAGCCTGAGTCCAAGCGTGCCCGCTATGAGGACGAGGACGACAAGGAAGACATGTACATGAAGCACCTGCAGATCTTCAACCAGATCGACAGTGGCTATTTGATGGACATCGAGCTGGACCTTGCTTCAAATCGCCAAAAGAAGGCTTTTCAGAGAAACCCGAGCCTCTACCTGGCGAAGAAACTGGCTGGTTCAGAGGTGAGTTTTCGTCGTTTGAGTGCCAATGAGAAGGAGTTGTTCCAGCGAGCAATGAACTCCGAAGTTTCAAGCTTCATCAAGACAGAGGCAGTTCGCCGCTGTTTGAGCTTTGAGGAGCAACAAGAAGCGAAGAGAAGTGGACGTGTTTTGAAATCAAGATGGGTATTGGTTTGGAAATCAGTGCCTGAGGAATCGCGTGCTGAAGCACTTGCTGACGCCAAGGAGAATGAGAACACAGTCCACAGCTCTGATGGCACTCGCAAAGCAAAGGCGAGGATAGTCGTATTGGGCTATCAACACCCTGACTTGTTGGACCCGTCTCTCGCAACAACTGCACCAGTGCAATCGCAGTTGGTCCGCAACCTCTCCTTGTGTGTGGTGGCTCAACGCCGTTGGCAGTTGGAAGGACTTGATATGTCCACTGCATTTTTGCAGACTGGCAAGACGGAAGAGGATCGCAGAATTTGGATGCAAGGGGTGCCTGAACTCAATCGTGCCCTTGGAGCAGAACCTCATGAAGCGGTTCGAATCCTTAAGAACGTCTATGGCAACACCACAGCACCTCGAGGTTTATGGGAAGATGTGGACAAAACCTTTTGTGCCTTGGGAGCGAAACGCCTGATCGGCGACAGTTCCTTTTGGATTTGGACAAAGCCAAACCCAAATCCTCGAAATCAGTTTGACACTGAGCAGCTGATTGGTTTTGTCGGCGGACATGTTGACGATTTCAACAGAGCCGGAGATCTACAAGATCCTGAGTGGCTTCGCATCAGAGAGGCCATTGACAAGAGCTACAAGTGGGGAACGGTGAAAATCAACCAGTACAGACACACTGGTTTGGATATCAACGTCAAGACCGAGGGTAATGACTTTCTGGTCGAGGTGGATCAGAACTACTATGTGGAAGGCCTCATGGACCTGAACATTGCCCCGGAGCGTTTGAAATGCACCGACAACCCACAGCTCACTCCTGATGAAGTGAGTGCTTGCCGAGCCGGACTTGGAGCAATCCAATGGGCTGCAACTCAAACACAAGTTCAAGCCTGTGCGCGAGCCAATCTGCTTCTTTCGCAGATCACAAGCAACCATGACATGAACACGGCCAAGGAGATCCAAGAACTCATTAGAGAAGTTCGTTCAAATCCAGTTAGCTTGAGGTTTTGGAATCATCCTGAACTTGAACATTGGCAAGATGTTACAATCGTCACGCTTGCAGATCAAGCCCATGCCAATCGACCTAGCGGTGATTCTACAGGCGGTTTGCTGACACTTTTGGGTGGTCCTGCACACCGTGAAGGAGCAGCTGGACGTCTATCCATTGTTGGATGGAGAACTTGGAAGCTGAAGCGCAAAGCCATCAGCACAAATGATGGTGAAGTTCAGTCTATGTTGGAGGGTGAGGACGCGAACTTTAGAACGAGATTCATGTGGTGCCAACTCAATGGTGCACCCATTGGTGATGATGTCCTCAACAGCGCCAACAACATGGTCAAGACCATCTATGGCATCGTTGGAACAGATAGCAAGGGTGGCTTTGATGCTGTCACTCGATCTGAGGGACCGATGCTTGGTCTCACGAATGCCCGCAGTGCTCTGCAGGCTTACCAACTTCGTGAACAACTTGACCATGGTGGAGCAAAGCTCATTTGGCTTGCTGGTGATTGGAACCTGAGCGATGCTTTGACGAAGAAGCCTCAGGTGGCCCGACAGAGCTTGTTGCAGTTTCTTCGCAACTTTGTCTGGCGACTTCACTATGACCCGAAGTTTGTCACCAGCGAGAAGAAGGCGAAACAACAAGGACGTGGAGCACTTCAGCAGATGAGAGATCTCCAAGCTTTGCAACCCATACCATATGCCATGACCTTTTGAGCCAAGAAAAACTTTGGCTGGTGCGAATGTGGCATAGGGTTGTCTCATGTAGGTCATGTCATGACACTTTTCACATGCAGCTGCACCGCAGCGCTTGAGCCCCGGCAAAACAGTTTCGAGCCTTCGTTGCAGCCTGATCTAGGGGATCAGGGACCTTCGACTTGTGCCATATCGTTTGGCCACTTCATCCACCCTATTTCATTGTCTTTTTCCTTGTGATCCCATTTGGGGGACTTTGGTTAGTGGTTGGAATAGGTGAACCTCCCTGCTCCCGCAGAAACCCAACACCTGATGATTGACATTGATTGACTGTAAGAATCAGCAAATTCGATCAGTGGGGCCATACCAATATCTGGGATCTGGGGCCCCCGATCTCCCAGGTAGAGGCTTGTTGCCGAGCTCCATATTGGGCAGTGACCGCGCTGCGCCTGAGGTGGGGATGCTGGGAGGAATCTGCAGCAAGAATAGGATGTCAGTAATTCAAAGGGGCCCAAAAGGTAGAAAAGTCACCCACCGCTCAGAACAGGGCTGAAGAACTGTTCCTTTTGATCCAGGAAATGATGCATGGCAATGGTCCAGGTACAGGTCTCTACGCTGATCCATTCACTGAATGACAGCTTGGATGACCAACTCAAACTCTTCTACATTGCCTTTAAAATCTCACGTTCCATGGCAGGGAACCCTCGAGCTGCAAAGCAGCGTGATTTTTGATCCGGAGGAGGGATGGGTCAGGGGAATCCAAGTGCTTGGAGTTTGTGGTGTATTTGGGCATATTTGGGCGTTGGCGGGGATAGCCCAGCCAAACAACTGTGCTTCACCAATTGTGGTCAAAGCAATCTGGAGATCTCCAATGTAGGGATGGCCATGGTAAGACATAGCCGTGATGTGATGCCCAACATCTATCCTTTGGTGACAGATGTACTGGTTGATGGGTTCAAATTTTCTTTGTTACTTCCAATATTGTACACATGGTTGGTCAATGAACAGTTCTATGTCTATCGTCAATCTCATATATAATAAGCATTATAAGTTAGTATTATAAGATATTATAAGTATATAATATGTGTTGAACACTTTTAACTGCCACCATCTCCCCGGGGGCTTGATCTGGAGGAGTTTGGTGATGCTTTGCAGTGTCCAACGTGTTTGGAGGTCGAGCTGAGCGCTGGGCCGATTTTGACGGACCCAGGTTATGGCACATATCGTAGGTCCATTGGGTGAATATATGCGTGTGGCATGTGGCAAACACTCAGGTGGCTAGTAGATACTAGTAGGATTTGTTTGGCCGACTCATGTCACACTTGACATAGTTTCCTTATTATGTAGATACATGTAGATACTAATTGATATAAGTTTGACATCGCCAATTGAACATGCTTTAAGTGTCCTTTTGAGTACTTTGCTTCAGTGGGAAAGCCCCACAAAACATCCCTCCACTCTTGGATGGTTCCCATTCCCCGGCCCGAGCCGTGAAGGACTTCTCGAAAGAGCATCAAATCCGAAAGACCATTTGCCACTCGCAGCAAGGATGACGTCGTTGTGATGGCTCGATTTGTGAACGATTCCAAAATGGGACTGGCATGGACTGGTTCAAACCTCAAAATTGGATATGGCGATGGAACAATATCTATTATTCCCATATTTTCAGTGGATGAGCACCCATTTGCCAGCTATTTCGGTTGTGACCAGGGTACCAAGGGTTTGAACCATAGACATATAGGGTTGGGTCCATGGTTATCCAACTGAGCTACACCCAAATATCAGCGACAACATGTGTCGCTCCGAGATGGACTACAGCAACTCTAGCACCGGTTCTTGCTGCGGGGTAGGTTCACAGGCTCTAACATTTATCAGTCAAAAGTAGACCTGCACATGCATCCCAACGGCTTAGAAAATCATGGTCTCCTTTAAACTGGCAATACTTGCGGGTCGAAGACCAGGAGGGGGCCCGCAGGTCAAGTGAAAAGGCAAGAACCCATCATTTTTGGACAAACCCACATGTCATGTTGTTGCTTGTATCTTATATCCCATTATAATATATATATATAATATATTATAACTATATATATATACATCATTTATACTGTACACCATATATATATACATATATTATATACATACCCCATTACCAGCACGAGTTGCGTCGGCGGCCCCGAGGCGGTCACTACTTCCACGAAAGCTGTTTGGCTCAGTGGTCGGGGCACCGGTCCATTTTTGAAGAATCAGCCGAGACTCAGGTCTCATTTTTTTCGACTGTAAATATCTGTAAAAAAAACACCATCTCAGACACATTGATCAGGAAAATTTATGTTGTTTTGCTTTGGATCAGATCTGAAAACATCTTTGGTGGGACCAGTTTCTCCTGGATTTTCCTCCCAAGTTACTGGGGATTTTGGCAAGCCGGAGGCTGAAGGTGAACCGTACCTGTCCTCTTTGTCGTCGAGATTTGGTGACTTGACTTGGTGATTAATTGGGTGGCCATTTTGGTGGATGTTTTGGCACGGGTTCACCAAGCCAATAACATTCCAAATAGATCCAATGAGCCCCCTAATATGCCCCTAAAATCATATAAAATCCCAGTGGGTTTTATCAACATGTCATCATTAAACTATACTGAAATGATTTTTTTTGTTGGGGTGTACCATGGTTTTTTCCCCATTTCTGGGGTATTGTGAAGGTCAGTTATGAAGGTCAGCACCTTTGGAGAGAAGCTTTGCAGCCATCTAACCTGGCTATAACATCTATGGATTTTCAAAAAAAAATCCAGGAACCAGTGGGAAGTTTGGGAAGTTCAGTGCTACTTGAAAACTTGGTGCGTTTGCCACGGCCTCCAGTAACGAGGCTGAAAGCTTGGAGTCGGGTGATGGCTCGATAGAGGCGGTTTTTCAGTGACCAGGAAATTGGGCCGGAGACCAAATGAAGGGAAAAGTATGGGGGTTCAGTGTCTAAATGAAATGAGAGGACATCGATGAAATTGAGATATGTAAGTTGAGCATGAAGAAGCTGTCCATCTTTTAAACCCCCTCAGAATTGTGACGCGGGTTATTGGAGGCCATTGGAGCCCAAATCCTAGTGACACTAGTCCTTGGGTGAAGGCAAAAAATCCACCAGAACATCTACCTGACATATCAGGAAGCAGTACTAATTGAACATGTTTACTCCCATGTCCCACAACAACATATACCAATATATGGATGATATTTGATTTTTGTACGCAATATATATAATGCATATCATAGATTTACATATTATCATAATCTCATAACGCGATATTTGTGTATACCCATAGGATCCATGTATGGTATATATGCTAACATTGGGGGTATATTGATGGTAAATGTTACCATATATAGCATACATGGATCCTATGGGATATATATACATCGTGTGGTGTTTCTTCCATAATATCAACCTATCACAGACTCATGCCTGACCCAGGCGGCCATGCGTGCGGAGCGCATCGGGGCCTCTGATTCGATCCAGGTCATCGGGACCTTCGAAGTGTCGATTGTTTTTTTGTCTATGAACCGTAATAAGATTTGAAAAATACTATGTATAATATATCTATGTAACATATCTATGTAACATATCTATGTGACATATCTATGTGACATATCTATGTAACATATCTATGTAACATATCTATGTAACATATCTATGTGACATATCTATGTGACATATCTATGTGACATATCTATGTGACATATCTATGTAACATATCTATGTGACATATCTATGTAACATATCTATGTGACATATCTATGTGACATATCTATGTGACATATCTATGTAACATATCTATGTGACATATCTATGTGACATATCTATGTGACATATCTATGTAACATATCTATGTGACATATCTATGTACATATCTATGTGACATATCTATGTGACATATCTATGTGACATATCTATGTAACATATCTATGTAACATATCTATGTGACATATCTATGTGACATATCTATGTGACATATCTATGTAACATATCTATGTAACATATCTATGTGACATATCTATGTAACATATCTATGTAACATATCTATGTAACATATCTATGTAACATATCTATGTGACATATCTATGTAACATATCTATGTGACATATGACATATCTATGTAACATATCTATGTGACATATCTATGTGACATATCTATGTAACATATCTATGTAACATATCTATGTAACATATCTATGTAACATATCTATG